ACTGTACCTGCCCCCCCCCCCATTGTTTTCAGGGCCCCCACTCCTCTGGAGGGCCTGGGACCATGGCAGAGGATTACAAGATGGAGAGCGGGAGCAGACCAAGCAATGTCAGTTCCCTGATCTGCTTTGTGTTCTCAGTGCTTCCTGCTTCAGAGCCATCAAAACCCGGCTGAAGTGCCAGGTAAACAGACGATTAAGCACGATTGTCTGTATTGGAGGGCAGGGAAGACATGAATCATATAATAGACCCCTGATGTCTTCATAAAGAGAACCTGTCCCCTACAAGTTCTGTCACATAGGGGCTTATTATCCCCTTTGTGATAGCAAAAGTTAAGTGGGGGAAAAAAAGAGAATTAAAAATTAATACAAAATACATTAAAACCAACCCTGCAACCCCCGTTATCTGATTTGAACATGTGTGTGTAAGTATGCATGTAAATGGGGGATCTATCAAAAATGAAGAAAAAAAAGCAGTGCAATGCACCGAAAACAAGGCATCAGCACTGTGCCTGAAATCATACACCAGCAGCTGTGCATTGTAGTGCAGCTACTGGTGTGAATGCATCCTAAATGGCAGACCGCAGTACGGACACTGACTAAGTGAATTTCCTGTCTGGACCTCTGCTCGATGAAAAGTTTATCTCACTGGACCTCCTTCAATTTTAATTCACTGCCCCTACCTTAAACTGAGGAGTCAGAAACAGATAATTTACCTTGGACAATCTCTTTAACTCAGACTCAATTATTTTGGCTATATTATAAATAAATATTAAATCAAGAAAAGTAGAGCACAACAAATATCCCGGTTGAAATTGGTTTGATTCTATGGCATGGCACACCTCTTTTGCTTGACTCATTTCTGAACTCTGCACCTGTCGCCAATCCAAATAAACACAACAAAAGGTCTGATTCACTTTGCTTTAATGTTACATTAAAAATCAATATTTTAGGATTCAAGTAAAACATTATCTGAAGGTGCAAATACAAAAGTTATACTCAGAGCATGTTCTATCGCTTTGTTAAAGTTGTTCTCTTTACAGTATGAGGGAAATAAGGTAAACGCAGGCAGTTGAAAAGTGTTTTCAGGGTAGATAGAAACGGATGGAAGGTAAAGTGCAACAGATCCACAGTGCTTTGTTCATCTGGGAAATAGGAGAACCAATCACATCCGAGTAACAGAACAGCCATGTTGGAGGTGTCAAAAGTCTTAATGCATTAAGTCTTCGGGGTTGGTGGAGGCTTTCTGCGCACACAGTGTTGGTAGAGGTTAAAAAAAAAAAAAAACGCCCGCAGTCTTTATAGAAATCTCAATTCTGCTTCAACACCTTTATATCAGCCCAAGTTCAGTCATAAACAGATATTTCCTTTAAGTGCTTGAATAATACTGCCCCGAATGGTATAGTCTTGACAGAGACACGGAGTACAGAGTTCTGGCCAAAAGTGGCTTTAGGCTCTAAAGACTTAACCTTGCAATAGCAGGATCTTAACAGTCACTGGGACATGCTCAATGGAAAGCATAGAACACTTCATATTGTCAGACCTGCTACACAGTAACCACCCACTGCAAATATTACCAACCGTGGCTGACTAGGGGTTCGTTTTTTTGTGTTTTGAAGATGGAGTGTGTTTAATATTTTTTTTTCTTTTACTATTTTGTGGTTTCTCATTTTTAACACTATCATAAAAAGAAAAGAAAAAAATAAGCCAAACAACTTCCCACCAGCTGTAGAAAATAGGAGGCAGCATCCTAACCAGTGTTGATAATAATCTGTGTAGAAAATGCATACAGAAGGCTTTTGTTCTTGCAGTGTTCAATCAATTGCTGCAGCACCCACTTCTGGGTTGCTGATCCGAGCCTTGGAGATTTACGCCCCTGTTGCGGGCAGCATGGGTTGGATTCTGGGCATCGGATTTCGGCATTTTCTTTGCTGTAAAAAGTGAGAACAGATTATATTTACTTTAGCTAAAAATCAACCCTCTGAAAGGATGAGGTGTGATATGCGAGATACAGATCATAGGAAGCTACTCGGTTTTAGGAGCCACCACCCTGACACTTGTTCCCTGGAATTCATCTAGATGGTAATGAACACTCTTTAGAATTCTGTGTCGCGACTCCAAGTATATGACTTTATAGCATTGAGGCAAGGGGAGGGGGGAGCTGAGGTTACCGGATACTGTGACCACAGTGCAGCTCTGATAAAACCACAGGTTTAACATCACTGAACTCCCTGCTTGTCCACCATGTCTTTCAAACAGATAGGTGTTGGGCAGTTGAGCTGATAAGTGTGCAGAGCCCGGCTTTGAGAAATCAGGTCTGCCTCCCCTTAGCTTGACAGTCGACAGAGCCTAATAGGAAGGGCTTAGAGAGACTAGTTCCCCATGAGGTCCACCTTCCTTGTAATTGACAGTTGGCGCATTCTTTAGTCACTAGTGGACTGTCTAGCAAATATGAAATCTGCCCACTGCCAATCACAAAGGCAGTGGACCTGTCTCTCAGCATCACCCATCAGGCTCCCCCCACTGTCAATGTTGAGCCCTGCATCACTGTATGGACGCTGTCCAATACAAAGCTGACACCCTCCTAGCAACCAGTGACGCTGTGTAGCCAAAAGCATCCTAGCAACCAGCGTCAGGTAGAGGGTGGTGCACACAAGGATGTATACAAATCTCGTGTGTAGCAAATGCTTTATTGAAGCTACTACTCCTACTAAATCACCACAGACCTTAGGGTCACAATGCACTTTACAATCTTATCATACAGTTAACTTTCAATTGACCAAAACTATGTAATATAAAGGGCCTACCTAATCTATTCAATCAATTTGTACCCAACAAAACAAGCCCTTGCTCTACATAGTTGTTTGTAGATCTAAAGGTGATTGTAGTAAATATAAGGCACCCATACTTCGGAAACAGGAACAATTCTTGTTGCCTACAGCAGATATAATTAACTGCTAATCCTCACAGTATCAAAGGGAAAATCTGACTGATTTGAATAACAAGTGTTCTTTCTTTAAAAATATATGCCCGAGCATTTGAAAGTAAAATTAAAGTGTATATAAAGTTAGAAGTAAACATGTATTATGTTGCAGCTTTCCACTGCCAAGATGTGGTGACTGCATTAGTTTTATTTCAGGGCTTTACTTTGTACCCAGTAATCCTGCTAGTAACACACTTCGTGCCCTAGGTCAGCAACGCTCACTCACTGTATTGTATCCATAGGAGATCAAGGTTGTCACCCTAGGACAGGAAGTTTGATAGCCCTACAGAACACCCACCCCCCTCTTATTTCTTTAACACGGGGTGGCTTGTAGTCCACCAAGGAGAACTGGGCAGGTCTGATAACTCTTAGTGCAGCACAAGCAAAGAGCACAGGAAGTCAGAAGCTTGCTGGAGGATCACCAGGTTTTTTGTTTTCTTTTTGCATTTAAATAGATAATGCACTTTCAATGGTATATTATACAGACCCAAAGGGAACAAATAAGAGACATTCAGTGTTATGGTTTACATACACTTAAAAAAAAAAAAACATATATTACATACTAAATGCACATAATTAAATAATCCACAAGCTCTATTATTTCTTAATTCCTGCTATGATTTCTTTGCTCCCCTGAAATGCATAAAATGCATTCTGTGATTTTTAGGGTATTAATACCTACCAATAGCTAAAAACAACTCGTTCACATTCATTGCGGTTTTGGCTGACGTTTCCATGAATAACAAGCCTGTATCTTCGGCATATGCTTGAGCCTCCTAAAAAAAGATGAATATGGTTATCAGATGTCACTTTTTTCTGATTTACATATTCCAATACCTACTTATTCAGTTAGATCCAAGCATTAAAGCCCTACTCCAGACAAAATATGACCCCCCACCTCCGTCTAACCGATACTGCAAGGATTTTTATTTTTCTTACTTGGTGAAACACGTCATACTCACCAAATTCTGCTATTCGGTCCCTCGCTAACCCGTTTTTGTGTGCAGGGCATCACTAACCCAACACAGATGCATCCGAGACTGCTGATCCCCTACAGTCCCCTTGTGCTGTTGTCACTCCTTTTTTTGATCCTGAGAGAAGACGCAGCTGGACAGCCAATAGGAAGTGTCCATGTCACGTAGGCAGCGACATGGACACCCACAGAAGGACCCCGCCAGATGTAAAGAGATGGAGAGAAGACTTGGTACTGAAGTGTCACATGACTACGGCTTCAGGTAAGTAAAAAGAGCATTTAGATTATGTCTCTTTTCACGCCAGCGATCACTTAGAGGGGGGTGGAAGGGGAGTTAGTTTTATCCTGGAGATAGGCTTTAAAGCTAACCAGTAATCCAGTTATAGATTCAGCAAAAAAGGATTACATTTATGTTTACATACAGCTTTAAAAAATGTACCTGAAAAGCAGTACCTAGGGCTGGGATGGAGAGCACCAGCAGTGTAAACCAGTCATGCTCTATTGTACTGCATGGCGCTGTCTGTTAAAACACTATGGGGGTTATTCATAAAGCTGCCGAAAGCACCCGAGTGAATAACCCAAACGCTGTTTGGCTATTCACTTCAGTCTTGCACGGCTGAGTTCAGCCGTACATCGGCTGCCTTTGGTCAGCCCAACATGCTCTGTATGTTTGGCTGAGCCGAAGTGCAGAAGGAGTTCAACTCAGCCGATCCAACATCTTGATCAGCTGAGCCAAAGCTCCGGCAGCTCACTCGCTGACGTTCGCCCCTATTCTTATAGGGGCGAACGGCAGTGAGTGAATAGCCGAATGCTTCGGGTGTCACTACGGCTCAGCCGAGGCGAAGGATATGCATTTGGATCGTCTGAGCCGCTTGGCTGCCGTACGGGCTATTGTGAATAGCCCGTACATCAGCCCTTCGGTTCGACCGAACCGAAGGGCTCTGGCGGCCGAAGGATCACCTGAAGCTACGACTGGATCCTGCGGCTCTTTAGTGAATAACCCTTATACCTCCAGAGAGGTGAGAGAACAGATGATCTGGCAAGGTTCAGGCTGTATTGATCAGCTGCAGTGTATGGAAAGGTTTCAGAGCTTGTTCACACCAAACGCATACCAGAGCTGCATGGGTTTCTCCACATGCAGTTCAATGTGTTTTGCCAAGTTTTTGACGCGTTCCGGGACGTTTTTTTTTAAAAGCCTAAAATGGGCTTTCAGTGCGTTCCAGGGCGTTTGCATGCGTTTCAAAGCAGCAAACACAGGGTATGCTGCAGTTTTTCCACATGTTCTGGAACTGAACGCTCTGGTGTGAACTAGAGCCCAAAATACCATTGGAATACATTGGACGCAGTTTTGATCTGTTCTGTAACTGCTCTGTGCTTGGTGTGAACTAGCCCTCAGGGAATGCAAGACCTGGATTTGCTGTTTGGATCAGAAAATTGGCTGAACAAAGTTACAAATCTTTTTAAAGCTACCATATATGTATTTGCCTGGAGTTTTGATTTAAATGTCCTTATGCAGAACACATATAAAACATTTCTTAAATGAATAACCTGGATAATATGGAGGTAGCACACCTTCTCCCAAAAATGATAGTGGTAATGCGAGTTGACACTCCAGAACAGAGAAAAGGACTCATGATATGCATACTTGTTCTAGGTCTGTGCCTCTGAAAGCACTGAAGCCAAAGGATTGGAATGACAGCCAGGAAGGCCGATTTTTTAGGGGAGGCCAGTGATGGTTTCTTCTGTATTTAAATTAGTACAGGTTTCCTTTGAGGACAGCTTTGGAAAACACTTTACGTGTATGGATAGCTCTACAAAAGAAGGGTATAAAATTGCAAATTACATTTGTTCTCTTCATACCCTGTCGTTCGGCCTTTTTCTGTCATACACTGTTCTATTTTTTTCGTTCAACCTGTGGGCGGAACAAAAACAATATAGAACAGATTTCTCCATCATTGCTACGAGCGGTAACTGAGTAATCCCCGCTGTTTCCTCTGTATTTTGACAGTGGGCGTCAGCTACTGCCATAATACCCAAAAAGAGCCGGCAGCCATAAATCTGTATGGCAATTAACATACAGATTTAATAATACCATGTCTGGGATTCTTGCACCATATTGTACGTGGATGTCAGCTGAATGGAATTCATGGCAGTTATTCCAAATACGCTTGTGTATTTCAACATGAAGAGTCAGGCTACACATAAATCAGGTTTAAGCAATAGGTGGATTGTGTTGATCTGGGTCACCTAAAAGACTCTTACATTTCTTGGGGAGGCCAACATAGTTCCTTGCGCGTTTCTAGCCCCTCCTGCTACTTTCTCCAAAATATCAAATGAAAAATGTAGCATGGAGATTGGACCCCCCTATTAATGGCCATGGTGATTTTTTACAGGGATCTTCTCACTAAAGTCCTCAGGAGACATGGGAACCTTAGGTGCTTTAATAATTCAGCAGTTCTCCAAAACTAGAATCTCAGTTTTAGGTGGGCTCTGCTTTAAGTGGTATGGTTTGTAGATTAGAATGTACTTTGTGCTCTGTTGTTACACACTTTAAACCCTAAAATACCTACTGAAGCAGGAAATTTCAATAGCAGCAGCGTGCTGCTGTGAAGAAATCACTTATTCTCAAACGTCAAAAATGCAGAGCCAGTTGTCTGGCTGTCATGCTGACCCTCTTGTTTCAATACTTTGAGTCACTGACCCACAACAAGCAAGCAGACAGTCTGACCTGTCTTTTCCCATTTTTTGATCTGCACACTTGTGACAGGGCAGGGATTCTGTAATTTACAATCAGTTTCAATATTTTTAAATCTGCAGTGTTCATTAAAACTACCACAAAGGCCATCTGGTTTCGACCAGGAGCCATATTTATAACTGGGTCAGGTGAGCTGCAAAACAGGTCCATGTGTCCATCAAGTGCTCCACAGATCAATACTTACTTCAAATTCCACCATCCTCTTCTCTGCCAGATCTGACTTGTTCCCAGCCAAAGCAATCACGATATTAGGACTTGCCTGCCGTTGTAACTCTTTTACCCAAGCCTTTGCCCGATCAAATGTTTCCTGAGTAAGATAAAGAAAATGAACATCTGAGAATTGTGTGTTCAGTAGAATTTGTTCAGACTGCATATTCAACATTATTATGTTATAATACCATATTGTTTAATATACAAGCAAGTTTTGCTTCTTTATTGTTTGGGTTCTGCTTCAAGCACAATGTACAGAACCCGGCTAATGCTACAAAATACAGTATGTTACAATAAGTCTTATACTGCACTGAAACCTGCACACATAGTTATGTCTGTATAAGAAGCTACAGGACAAGAGTTCATATCACTGAATGTCTGGGACACACTGTTTTGCCATACTACCATGTTTTAGTATCCACATTCAAATCTTCCCTGAAATGCATCTGGAAAATTAAAGCTTAGTTTAGATTTTGCTGCTTCTCTTTTAAATCTTCCAATCAACACACTCCTCAGCCACTGGATGTTACCTTCAACGGCTGTCTTCCAGTCCTGTGAGAGTTAACAGCTGCCGCCATACCCCCCACTCTGCTTACTCCGCCATTCAGATTGCTCAACACATTGCATTTTGAGATGCCATGATGACCATAGGGTGAGAGAGAACCATGTATTGTAAACTTACAAGCATGTCCCAAAAGTTAGCAAAGGGGGACAATGAGCCCAAAACACGTTAGTGGAGGTACTCCCTTTCTTCCGGGGAACCAGTTTTTCCTTGTTTGGGGACATACTTGTACATTTGCATCACAAGGTTCTTGCATTGCTCACTTCCGTGACTACAATTCCTGCTCACATCTCTCCTGTTGTCAGCTACCTAGTGAGAGTGTTTGTCAGCATCCTGTTGGTGTGACTGGACGTTCCATTGGGAACTGGTAACGTGCCCTGATCAAGGAATTCTAAGTGCAATTTTATTATTTCTTTATTCATTAAAAGGTGTTTTTATCAGCACAATCTGTTTTGTGTTTCTATATTTGGACAAGCTGAAGCAATACAAATCTTAAGTGTTGGCCATACTAACCCATACATCACAGTCAAGTTTTTTTTGTCGAGTGCAAGCTAGAATGTAGGGCTGCAGCTAACGATTATTTTCAAAATCGATTAGTTGGCCGATTATTAAGTTCGATTAATCGGTTAATCGGATTTAAAAAAAGGCTCCAGTGATGGACTATTAGTTTGTATTGAGATTGTAGTCTATCACGGGAGCAAGCTTGGAGCGGTGGAAGTAAAAAAAAAAGTGTGGTGTGGAATATAGTACATTATACAGCGGCGCAATGCAAAATACCAGCAGCTTTAGAGGAATACAACAAATCGCAGCAATAGTACACTATAGTGTACTATTGCTGGGATTTGTAGTCCTCTGTAGCTGGCGTTATTCTGCATTGCGCTGTATAATTTATTATTGCTGGGATTTGTAGTCCTCTATAGCTGGTGGTATTCTCCATTGCGCTGTATAATGATTATACGGCGCAATGCAGAATACCACTGACCAGTTATAGAGGAACTACAAATCCCAGCAATAATA